GTTACTATCGCTAAAAATCTGAAAGTTTTACAAGTTGCCGTCGAAGAATACGATGAATTCGATTCAAAAAATGAAAAGGTAACAATTAATTTGCTTACATAATTCCCTTCATGAATTTGTCTTACTGTAGTTTTTGTCGAATTGGGCAATGGCATGTGAAATTTTTGTCAAATTCTATCCATAAAACGTATTTCCATCTTTAAAAGATCACGTCTCTTGAGATTGTGTGATAATTATATTAGCAGTGATTCCAACTTGTTATGGCAAAGACGAGGGGTTTTCCCGTCCGAATCATTCAAACACGTTCATTCACCTAACTTCCGGAAATGGCCTCCAATAGTAATTGTCGTTAAGACTCTGCACCTTATTCCCCCATATTCGAAGTTGGGATTACTTAAAAGTTTAAAATCGAATTCCTGATTGGAATGTACTTTTTTATGGAACATATTTCTTTTCATTTTAAATTCAAAATTTTGAAAATAGTTTTCAAGACATGCTTTTATTAAAAATTAAGTTATACTTGAACTTCCTTTAGCAACGGAGTAGTAAGGGCGTAGGTACAGGTAATTTGGTTGCTAGGCAACGGATGACGTCATAGTGGTTGCTAGGGATGACGTCATATCCGGTTTTAGGATGCGCATGCGTGACTTTGGTTGCTAGGGAGATGACGTCATTGGGGAAACCCCACGGGAATCCCAGTTTGACGATGACGTCATGGGAAATTCCAAGGGGAAACCCCACGGGAATCCCAGTTTGACGATGACGTCATGGGAAATCCCAAGGGGAAATCCCAAGAGGAAATCTCAAGGGAAAATCTCAAGGGAAAGACCCAAGGAAAAGGGAACTCTTTTATTTTGATTAGGTAGCCCTGAAAAGGGCTGTTTTTTATTGGACTTGGGCGATCAGACTTGGTCTAATCAAAGTAGGACCGACGACACGTGCAGATTTCTTTCGGTTTTTTCGCACAGACCCTTCTATGTTTGGAAATCCTCCAGAAGGTAGGGCGAACTATGGCCATACACCATAGACATTGAAACCAGTCATCCTCTAGGTGATGGTAATAGGCCATAGGCCTTGACTTATGACAAATGTCACATTCCTTAAAATCTGACTTGTCCATGGCGAATATGATTTTCCTTGGCACGGTACGCTGTTTTAAAAGGCCACAGATCACGTGTTAGATCACGTGACTATTTCCGATCATTTGATTGGCTACAGCGCCACCTAGTTAAATCAATATAATGCACATACACTAGAAAATTCATTAGACATGGATAGATACGTGTTGTTCGAGGATCGTTTAGAGACGTTTGTAGATTGGCCTTAATCTAAACCTACACCAATCTCTTTGGCTGAAGCTGGGTTTTATTACCTTCAATACGAAGATACTGTAGAATGTTTTGTGTGTCGATATAAACTGAAAGAATGGCAGTCTGACGATTGTGCTTGGGATGAACATCGACGTCATTCCCCACACTGTCTTTACCTGAAAATGGTCAAACCCAAATCTTATCGAAAAGGTTATGTTTACGAATGGAAAGGACTATTAAGAGACCAAACCAGTACCATGGCAACCAGTCATAAAGTATATTCAGATTTTAGATCGTGTTTGTCCGCAGCCAAAAAACACGACTTTGATTTTCCAGACTCCATGGGAATTCAATTGTGGATCATGAAAGTAGACGAGGATGGAAAAGTATTAGAAGACATGGAAGTCGACAAAATGAATAAAGCAGAATTATCGTTGAAATGTTTAAATATTCATTAATGTCTTGTTGAAATAAAGAAATGTAAAAAAAAAATCATAAAATCTATATCTCTTTTCATTAGATTTGATGCCCAAAAAATGGCTGTCAAGCTATGCCTGACATCGTGGGGGTGGAGGGTGTCAAGATCAGCACTGTTTAGGATTGTCCTTGTAATATTTCAAAGCAATCTCTAAACAGCGTTTTTCGTAAGACCATAGCCAGCGTTCCTCTCGCTGACGCTCGAGAATACCTGCCACAATCCCCGTCCATCGCTCCTGCTCTGCAACTACGGCTTTACTTCTACAATTGCCCATTGTGGAAATGATGGAAAGAATGTCTAAGCGTTCTGTTAAATAGGCGCATATGGCGTCACACAGAACACGTGATTTTAACAACCAATTGTGCATGAGTGCGCATGCTTATAACGTCACGTGATTTTCCATGAAACTATTGTTGATGTGGATGTCTAGATTCACTATCAGCACAACCTGCGAAGATGGCATATCAACTACGCCTTGGCGATAGAAAATACAGCAGAAGATTTCATACCAACTCCGTGTATATGAACGTTGACTTTACGCAGAATTGGCATCATGTTTTACCAGCAGAGGTTCCTCAACAGTTGGATAATACTTTTAACCAAATTATCCGGGACATTGGAAACTATTTGAGTTGCGACCCAGACGACCAAGTGAGATTTAGCGTGTCACACCCAGGACTGAAATCACCAGCGTGGATTCCATTCAACAAATGGTCGGGGATAAGAGCTCAAGATATTTTGAACCCGTGGCAAGAATTTTACAGTCGAACGAGCAATTCAGATTAGACGAACGAATGACACTACATGTGTGTCACGTGAGTGTTCCAAAAGGAGATGGTCAAGGCAAGTATCTATTAAAACGAGAATCATTATCACTCGAGGATTATTTAAAGAGAAAGAGGGCGCTCGTAGTGGTCAAAAACAAAGATAATTTATGCTTTCAACGAGCAATTGTCATCGCCAAACACTACGCAACAAAAACGACACACCAGAATGGGAAGCAGAAAGGAATAAGTTAGTAAGGATCTCAGGACCTTACAGTTGGCAGACGAAATGCACCAAACGATTGATTGAACAAGTTGATGGACGTGCTGAAGCTTGCCAAGGACAGGAAACGTGGGAGTTGTACCAAAGGACCCTCGGACAACAAGGCTACCAACTGTTTGTGTATTCTAGACTCCTATTTGGAAAATTATTGTACAAAGGCAAAGTTTCCGGTACCCCTAAAAAACTTCATCTCTACCATCACGACCACCATTATGACGTCATTTCTTCAATGCCTGCCTTTCTAGAGAAAAATTATTATTGCGACTTGTGTGGAAAAGGTTATGAGCATATCGAGACACACGCATGTTTCAGCGTATGCAATGGTTGTCGCCGACCCGGCAAAGATTGCCCCACTGATACACCTCAATCCTGTTTAGAATGTCATCGAACTTTTTTCAGTGAGGAATGTTTTAAAGCTCACAAGACTGGAACCACCCTCAACGCCATCACCACCTGTAACAAATGGAAACAATGCACCAAATGTTGTAAGGAATGGGACACGAGAAGGCGAGGTCGACTATTGGAAGAACATATTTGTGGAGAGTACGAGTGTAAGATATGTCGAAAATGGCATGGTAAGGGTGATAAATGGTGTTACATACAGACCATAGACATTGACAAAACCAAAGTGGAAGAAAAACAAGACAAAGATGTGACCCGATTCGTCTTCTATGATTTCGAGTGTCACCAAAATACCGGGGAACACATACCTAATTTATGTGTGTTACAACTGTGCTGTCACTTCTGCATTGGCCAAGCCACGCCATGTCAACACTGCGATTCAACTTGGAACCACCAAAAAGAAATCATCTTCTCAGGATCCAACACTTTGGATGATGTGGCCAAGTTTTTTGTACACTTATCGGCCAAGAAAGTCGCTCCCGGAGGTTGTCTTATCACCAAGAGTCAAAACATCGTTGCTGTTGCACACAATTTCCGAGGATACGATGGTATGATCACTTTGCAAGGATTGTACAAACACGCCATGGACGTACCCAAAGTCATATTGAATGGTGGAAAAGTCATGACAATTCAATTGGGATGTGTGAAATTTGTAGACTCCTTAAACTTTTTGGCTATGCCACTAAGAGATTTACCAAAGACATTTGGTATCACCGAATTGATGAAAGGATACTTCCCTCACTTTTTCAACAAGCCTGAGAACGCACAATATGTTGGAGATTACCCACCAGTTACCGATTATGATCCCGACGGAATGAGCGTAGGAGAAAGAGAGAAGTTTTATACCTGGTACAAGGAACAACAAACCAAAACCTTCCATTTCCAGCACGAATTGGTGACCTATTGTCAGAGTGATGTGGATATCTTGCGTAAATGTTGTGGAGCCTTTAGAACGATCTTCATGTCGGAAACAGGAATAGATCCCTTCTTAGATAGTCTGACGCTGGCCAGTGCTTGCAATAAAGTTTTCCGTGCTCATTATATGAAACCCGACACCATAGTCATCATACCCAGAGCTTTGATGGAGGCCCCAAAACCTGGCGAAGATTGGAAGAAATTTCAATCGAGACAACAAAGCAACAAGGCTTTACGATGGTTAGAATGGAAGCAGCATAAGAAAACTATCGAGGCACTGAGCCAACACCAACCCACACCGAACATCAGACATGCCAGAAATGGAGGGGAAGTGAAAGTGGGACCATTTAGTTTAGATGGATACGATCTCAACGATAAGACAGCTTATGAATTTCACGGATGTTGTTACCATGGTTGTGCGACATGTTACCCAGGACCCATTGAAGACTTAAAACATCACCATCCATATGATCCTTCTAGAACCATGCGAGACTTGAACCACCACACCAGGGAGCGCATAGAGAAATTGAAAACGTACGGTTGAGGTAAAATAGAAGTGATGTGGGAATGTGATTTTGATAGACAACGACAACAAAACCCTGAAATGGATGAATTCATCACTGGTTTGGAATTGAGAGGATGGCCTTGTCCTGATCCATTAAGGCCAAGAAACACATTCTTTGGTGGACGAACCAATGCAATACAGCTGATGGCGGAACCCCAACAAGAAGGTGAAGAACTCCACTACGTCGACGTGGTATCACTTTATCCATACGTCTGCAAATATGGTAAATTTCCTATTCAAGAACCTGAAATCGTCACACAACCTGAACTAGATCGCTGGCACGAGTATGAAGGATTGATTCAATGTCGAGTTCTTCCACCCAAAAACCTCTACCATCCTGTCTTACCATTCAGAAATGAAAAACTCACTTTTCCACTCTGCAGGACTTTTGTACAAGATCACATGAAACAAGATGATGTTGAGGTTTATCGATCGTGTAATCATTGTGAGAAAGAAAGAGCTTGGGTAGGTACTTTTGTGACATTGGAACTGAAAAAAGCAGTGGAGATGGGTTACCGAATTCTGGATATCTACGAAGTATGGCATTGGAATCAATGGAGTCAGTATGATCCCGAAACCAAGACGGGTGGATTATTTACTGACTATATCAATCGTTACCTAAAAATGAAAATGGAGAGCAGTGGATACCCAGACAACTGTCGCACAGATGAAGATAAACGTAATTTCATAGAAGAAGTTTTCAGGAAAGAAGGAGTAATACTGGATCCGGACCAAATTAAACCGAATAAAGGACGTCGTGCGTTTTCGAAATCGATACTAAACACACTTTGGGGAAAATTTGGACAAAGAGACAACTTTAGTCAAACAGAATACATCGCGGATCCTTCAGAATATTTTCAGCTGATGAATGATGCAACAGAAACAGTCAAAGATGTTCAAATCGTCAACGATAACATGGTCATGATTGAAAAATTGAAGAAAGAACAACACGTTCAACCATGTTCTATCACCAATGTAGTGATTGCTGCTTTTGTGACAGCCCAAGCACGTTTAAAACTATACAGTGTGTTGGAACCCTTAGGAAACAGAGTGTGTTACTTTGACACTGACAGCATCATCTATCGACATCTACCACTACAATGGAATCCAACCGAAGGTTCGTCGTTGGGAGAATGGAAAAACGAGTTACCAGAAAATGTACACATCACTCAATTCTAGCTAGGGCCTAATAATTACGCTTACCAACTGAGCAACGGTGAAACAGTCTGTAAGGTGCGAGGATTTACATTGAACTACCGAGGAATGCAACAACTTAATTTTGAGACGGTGAAAAACATGGTACGACATTTGGAAGAAAACATCAGTATACCTATAGATAACCCCCATAAAATCGTCCGATCACGTGACAGAACATTATGGACCCGTCCAGAGCAAAAATTATATAAGGCTGTTTACACCAAACGAATGGTTCATTTCAACACGAGAGGAGAACCTGATAATACCTTACCCTATATCAAGCCGAAAATTAGACAGAGGTGGTTAAAATTTAGAGTCGAGAATTATTATCTACCAGCAATCCAAAAACAACAACATTCAAATTGTATAGACTGTGAAACGGATCATCCTAGTCAAAAATATCACAGCTGCCTGGGAATCGGAATTTCGTCAAGTGGTCTTAGTCATCCAGTCGATGATTATTTGTTTTTGGCCTTGGAGGAAAAACC